TTCTTAATTCACATGACGAGGAAGGTGAGATTCATTGCCGGCACTACTACTACTACTACTACTACTACTACTACTACTACAGCCATAATTTGACAGAGACGTGATGGAGTAACGTGTATCAAGCAGGAAAGGTTTAGGCTTTCGGATTTCGAGCTTCTAGAGCTGAGGGGTCTCAAGTTATGCATCCTCCTCCTCATCCTTGTGAAGGACTTTGTATGTGAATACAGTGTATACCATGCAACGATCGTGATCTTCTGGTAATATCCGGCTTAGTCACCCGTGTAATAGTACAGAATTCAAAGGCATTCTGTTGAACGACTAGAACTTGTGAATTTTGCATTGTAGGCAAGCCCTGAAACCATAGTGTTTTTGGGGAGTATGTCCGGCCGGCGTGCAGGCTTGCGTGTTTCGAACATAGAAGCCTGCAGATGCAGTCGTCCTACTCTGAGACGAGAATCCAACCTCCCCGGCTGTAAACATAGCCGTAGAACAACCACGAAATGTCCCCAAATCCAGGAAACTAGCTGCATAGTGCAGAGGTAGATTTCAACAGTTTCTGCAGGTGTTTCAGAGGGAGTTGTAGGGCTTACGGAGTTTTAGGTTTAGGGGAATACACCACCTTTTTCCCTGGAATCCCACTCACCCACGCCAAGGTCGAGGATTCACGTCTTTTGCGTGTCAAGGCAAGGTGCTCCGTATTTTCTCGGACTGCTGGCCTTCGCACAGGTGCCCGTCGCTCGGGCTTAAGCCCAAAACCTACGAGTTAAGCCCAAAATTCCGACCCACCCTAACCCCCCCCGTTCAGCTGGCATCGGCTCATGATCTGTCTGTGAGCTGTTTGGACGGAATTCGTCGTGTTGCGCAGCTCTCAGGCTCGAAGACCTTTCCGAGCTGAGAGATCTTCCGATAGCGGAACTCACGCCATCTTTTCCCGATTAAACTGCCTTCCATGTGGTTCTTCAGGCGAGGTCGGGTAGGGACTCGAGAAAGAAGCTGTGGAACGATTCCTTCGTCGTATACATTTCAGAGATGAAGTTGCAAATGTCCCAAGATCCTGCTTCAGGGCAGGGGCTGCTTAAGACCCCACAGTTTTGTGTACTCGTGCATCCTAGCATATACATATTCCAACATCATTATTGCCATTCATTGCTATTCTATTCTCCCCTCTGATCGTCATTATCACCATGGTCATGATGACTATGTTGGCAAGCTCCACTCCCAAGATTCACTAGTATAGACGTGTCGGGAAGAGCTGTGTCAGTGGTTTAGGGTTATATAGGGTTTCGGGAGAGCTTGGAGACCACACCATCCGACAGGGCCCGAATTCTCAGGAGAGGTCCCATAGTGATGTATGGAGTACGACGCAGTGCTGCTACCCAGCGACACTTCGGAATCCTGCTTCTGTTTATCTGAACCCTTAAGAAACCCTAAACCCTAACCCTTAAGCCCTTATCTTTGGATTCCCTGATCTGCTTTCAGACGCTATCATAGGCAGGTCACAGGAATTAGGCACCTCACCATCTAGTAATCATTTCGGCTTTTCGTTCACTGCCATCGATAACTACTTAAGGGCCGCTTTATGAGACCCTATAATAGTTCTATGTTGTAAGGCCCCTGTATGATAACTATGAGAACCGCCGAATACGCCGATAGACTATAAACTATCTTAGGGCCTCTGTATTGAACTTATAAATCCCCAGATGGTGCCGATGTTAATCATGCAAGAACCAGTGAGGCCCCTATCTAAGCCGAAGCCCCCAAACCCTAAACCCCGAACCCGAAACTCTAAACCCTAAACCCGAAACCCCAAACCCGAAACCTGGCACGCCTGAAACCCGAAACCCTATAATATACAAACCCTAAACCCGAAACCCTAAACCCTAAACCCTAAACCCGAAACCCGAAACCCGAAACCCGAAACCCTAAACCCTAAACCCTAAACCTCAACCGTCCTTCAACGCCCTCCCTCAGACGGCGAGGTCGAAACAGCCCAAAGGAGAAGAGGAGTCCACCTCTTCCGTGGCCCAGGAGACTGGGATTCGGTTTGGGGGTTACTGTAGGGGCCTTAATCAATTAGAATAGGGTTTTGGGCTCTTTGATAGTATAGTCATAAGATGGAACCCTTAGGAATAGTATTGGTAATTGTATAGGCTTCTACGTTAGTGTTTAGGGTGCGGGGACTGGGGTTTCGGGTTCAGTAGGGGGGTTTAGGGATATCAAAGTTTTGGGGGGGTTGGAGTTGTTTGGTCTGTTAGTGATTTTCTCTCTTCACCGGTTCTCCGTACACGTATATTTGTCTATGTTTCTCTCTCTCTCTCTCTCTTTCTTGCTCACTGTCTGCATTGCGAGTCTGCATGTCGTTTTCTCTTGTTGGTCCTGCACGCATAGAGGCATACCTCCTACTTAAGTACCGACATGCATGCATACATGTATACATACATACCTACAAAGATGGATTGTTTCACGTACCGAAGGATGCCAAAGGGGCCTCCACGTACGGCACCGCCCCGAGCTCTGAAGTCGCAGAGGCACCACGGCCAATGTCTGTATCGATGTGCTTCAAGAATCTTAATGTTGCGGGGCTTAAGGTCTTTGATGTAGGGTCGTTGAAGATTACACGGCTTAGCAACAGTTTGAGTTAGGGCTTTGAGTCTTCATGTTCAACCTACGACGATGCTGTGTCTTACGACTTTCGGTTCGGTTCCGGCGCTTCAGAGTGGTATATAGCAAAATGGGTCATCGCCTCGTGGCCCGGGAGACTACAAAATGCAGCCCACAATTGCCCGAGACTCGCAGCCGTCAGGTAGAATATTTGTAGCATCACAGCGTGGCTGGCTGTACGTTGTTCCTTGCACCCTCCCTAGTTGGACATATTGGGCATGTGTTCCAGCGAGCTCAGCGGCTGAGCTTGTTGGAAAAGCCCACATAATAGATCCAAGATCTTGACCCCAAACTCCATCAAGGCGACAGGAGCTGAGACTCTAGAATAGCAGTCATTCATGTGTAGGCGGTATCATGGTCTATAGGGATCAGGATGATTGCAGAGCACACTAACATGCAGTTGACCATCCCTGAAGCCCAAAACCCTAAATCCAAACCCGAATTCGGTAAATCCAAAACCCTATAACTCTAAACCCTATAACCCCAAACCCAAATGCCGGGCCCCTGCCAAAAAATGCGGTTGGAGGTCCTCCGGCGGCGCTTCAGCTGGCATGAGCGTGGAGAGCCCATGCAACTGCTGATGACACTCGGGTTTCGGGTTTAGGGTTTTCCTGTCGAACGTGCACGCGGGCCAACTCGGGCTTGGGCTTACACCATAGGACTCAGCATGGGGGTTTTCATCGAGTCTACGATAGTCGTTGACATAGGGTGTTGTAGGGTCCATTACCCATGAAGATCCATAAGACATATTCTGTGGCCACAAATTACCCTAACCCTCCAGGTACCTACTATATAGGGTACTAGAGCCCCTAGGGCCCTATATAGTAGGTACCTGGAGGGTTAGGGTTACCTCTGTAGGAAGCCTTGCATGATCAAGGTTATGCTATACTTGGTGCACGCAGCCCTAGAGGCGCATTGGATATGGGAGTTTCCGAAAATTAGGGTACCTTAATTTGGGGGTCCTTATACTAAGGATCCTACTATTTAGGGTACTATATTAGGGTCCCCTATTTTCGGAAACCCCCATATGTCCTCACGGCGATATTCATCTGTGGTAGACACATGCTCAAACTTGTTGAAGATGCTCTCGCACGCTGTTATGATATCAACGCCTACCACTCAACATCGTTTAGGGTTTATGTTCCAGGTTTAGGGTTTATAAGGTATAGGCCAAAGGGTGTACTATGCGTCATGGCTGGAAGCGGTGGTTTCCTATACGAGATCCTACCTGGCGCAGATAAACCTAAAACATCCTAAACCTAAACCTGTGGCAGCCTTACTTAAGCCAAAGCAGGTATGGACCCCTCCCAAAACCCTGAGCTCAGCAGCTCGCCGAGGCAAAAGTGTCATCGGACTTCTTGCCGAATAATTGTAGGTAATGACATGATGAGTTCGGTAACAGTCGGGTGGGTCCGCGGCTCAAGGGTCCAAAACACCTAGCAGTGAGGCATTTAAGCTTGGGTGATCGTATTTCTAGATCAGTATCATGTGGGAAAGTATGTGTGATAGCAACATCCCTGCATAGTTTATGGGTACTACACGGACCCTGATTACAATAACTGTGATCCAAAACCACCTGAACCCTAAACCCTCAAGCGCGAAACCTCTGAGCCTTACTTCTGAAAACTAGACCCTGCAGTAAACCATAAACCGTGAACATTTTGTTGCAAAGCCGGTCTATGACGCTATATAGGCCCTGGAGAATCTGCACAAGCTCTTTCAGTTTCACGGTAGGGTTTCTGCTGCAATCCGAGGATGGCAGTGATCAGCGTGGGCGGCCAGTATGCCGCACTTGGAGTGGCTTTGCTTTCTCAGCTTGGGGTGTAGGGTGGACGTCGGGTGGATGTGTTGGAGGTTTTGTTGACGTAGATCTAGACAGGTTGTGCCTCAAATGGCGCGCCCCCAAACAAGGGCTCCACAGCGCTGGATGCTATGGCCTTGGACAGTTCAAATCGATGCTGCCTTTGGTAGCAGGAGCCTGCGTCAGCAGCTGATAATAATGAGGAGGAAGAGGAGGAGGAGGAGGAGGAGGGAGGAGGATAGTCAGGACGATCAGGATGAGGACGCCGCCGATGACCATGATGATCATGATGAAGATGACGATCATGGCCATGACGGCCATGATGATCTTGTTGATGGTGTTAATGACGATGATCATGATGTTCATAATGACGATGGTGGTGATGATGATGATCGTGATGGTGATGGGTGATGGCGATAGAAGCAACCACGATGAAATCATTGAACAGCACGACCACCAACAAACAAGTTGTTTATCATCATTTCGTGGCTAGCTACGAAAGAGCGAGCCTTGCTAACATGTCCATGTTGCAGAGGTTATGGCCTTGACGGTCTATACTTCCAGCGGCCTCTTCGTGACCTGTGATTCGCGACAGCAGCCGCTCGCGATTGCATTTGCCTGCCGCTTGCCTAAACCCTAAATCCCTAATCGACGAGGGCACACATTGATCCCTCTGCACACGCTTGGAACAACTGACGGCACACTCACAATATAGGGCTTGGGGTCATTACGCTGCTGAGGGTAGCCCAGGGTTCCTCAATATGCTATTAGATACTGGTTTCGCGACAGTTGTTTAATGTCCCTCGTGAGTCTGAGGTCGTTGAGGAGATGTAGATACTCCAGATCTCGAAGTTTCGGCCCAGACTTGAGCATTGGCACGGGTCGTTAGGTTTCCCATGATTGTTCAGCGGGGGCTCTTTTCTGGTCACCCGGTATCCTTTTACATTTTACACTTCCACACCACCAATAGACTACCAGTCAAATCGATACATCCAAAGCATTTGAGAACCTCCTTATTGCCAGAGTCCTGCTTTCTTTTGGGTGCTCTGAGATCCCAATTTAGAGAACCCCCCTCCCCGGCCCAACCTGTAGACACCAGGTGAGTGCACGAAGTCCAGCATGCGTTGCTTCGTTCTCTTCGCCATGCTCCTTGGCCAATCCTAGGGATTCCTGTTGCTTTGTCTAGGTCGGCTTTCCTATAACATGTTAACATGTCCCTAAACCCTAAACCCCAATACCCTAAACCCTAAACCCTAAATCCTATACATGTTAATAGGGAGCCCGCAGGAACAGGTCCTTTTCTTTCGGCCGAAGCGGGGCCCAGGATCGTGTCGCTGCTGATTGCACTCCGGCAAATTGCCCGGCAGAGGATCTACTACGAGATGCTTCGCCCCTGGGCCCTGCACCCTAAGAGTTCCCGGTTCAGGGTAGTAGTAGGCTTAGGGGCAGGTAACCTTAACCTTTTGGGGCTTATATAATCCTACTATAACTCAAAAGGTTAACCTTTTTTGGGCTAAGGTACTCAGCCCCTACGTAGGAGATTATCCAAGACTAGCCTAAACATGTTCAGCATGTGACCGTTTGCCCAATGGGTAGGCTTGCCGGGTCTGCTGCAAAGCCTTCTTCTTCCCTCCTCTGCTTTAGGTTCAAGAGCAGAGAAAAGGGGCCCGAAATCGGGTTTAGGGGTTTAATATAGGGGCCTTAATGATTACCTACATTATTGTGGCGGCTCCTTACTATAAATATAATATAATAGGCCCCAAAGCCCCATTCTAATGATTGAGGCTCCTACATTAGGGTTCTCTCATCCACTACCCATGAAGTCTGCAGCCCCTGGAGCTTCCAGGCGGGAGCTCCGTGGGGAGGCAATCCTTGTTCCCTATAGGGTGTAGGTGTTGAGGTTTGGGGTTTGGGGTTTAGGGTTTAGGGTTTAGGGTTTAGGGCTTAGGGGTTTAGGGTTTAGGGTTTAGGGTCTAGGGTATCAGGTGAAAGCGATTTGCAGTGTTGAGAGAGCAGTCGAGGTCGCGGAGCCTTGCTGGACTTTGAGACTGTCACCCCCTTCCACGATCCACTGTTTTTGCTTCTGACCTTCTGCCTGCTCATCTCCCTGACCCACATACTTGTGGCAGCGTGGCAGTACCACGAGGACGACAAGTCCGTAGACCAGTTCCTGGTCTTCGTGCGGCTTGGCTCCGCAATTAGCAGGCCCTTGGTGGGGCTCGTTTTCATGTGGTTGCGCACGGGCCAAACGAAGCTCTTCGCGGGTGCATGCTGGCCTGCATCTTGCCTCCTCATCAAGGTTTAAGTTGGCCCAACCCGAGTCCTGAACCTCGAGTCTCAAAACCAGATGAATCTTTCCTAAACCTTAAACCCTAAACCCGAAACCCCTAAAAGTTTAGGGACCCTAAACCCCTAAAAGTTTAGGGACCCTAAACCCTAAACGCTCCAGGAAAGCAGTGGTGGTGAAGTATGTGGCGCATTCTTGCGTCTTCCTGGCCTTCCTGTTTTCAGCGTACGACACAGCCGCTGGGACGAAGCAGGTTCTAGGGCGGCTAATCTCGGGACCTTAATTAGTTAGACTATAGGGTTAAGGGATATCGGACTGTTATCTTTTGGGTGACTTAAGGGGAGTACTGCTACTAGTTGTTCTGATCTCTTGATCGGGGAAATGGCCGGAACTTCAAAACGAAAGCCGTTTGTAGAGAGATCCCCGATCGGAACACGACATCGACGTACTACAGGGTTTCGAATGTTTCTGAACGCTTAATAGTAATACCTGCTTGTAGTTCCTACTACAACACACCGCACCAAAGCCGTACCTTTTTTAAATAATGCCCCTTTATTGCTGCAGCCGTTATCCCTGCTCTCGAGTGGCCACGGAAGTATCTGAACCATGGCATGTATTTGCAATCGAAAATCAAAAGGGCATGGGGCACTGTCAGTGAGCGTATATACGGATAGATAGATAGGTAGATAGACAGATAGATAGATAGATAGATAGATAGATAGAAGGAATAAGATAGGTCTATACTCTCCAGGGAATGAGTTGGCTCTCGGGAGATGGGTGCGTCTGTTTTCCTGCTCAGTTTGCAAATGCGCATTGACCCGAAGGCTAGTTCCCGTCCTGGCCGGTCATCGCGCGTCCTCTGCTTTGGCCTTCGACAAGCATAACACAGAGGCTTCAGCCTATTACCTCCTAGTGACACGGATCCTAATTACGATTTGGGGGCTTTGGGGACTTCCGACACCTGAACCCCCCAGCTAGCAGCGAGCATCGGCCACGTCGACAAAGATAAGTCTCGGAGCTCGAAACAGAACTCCAGACCCTAAGCCGCCCAAAAGCTTTGAATGCAGATCCGAACAACCCTAAACCCTAAAGCCCCATAAAGCCCCAAGGACTAAATCAGATCCCCTTAGCCCTAAACCCTAAACCCAAAGGCCCCAAAGCCCCAAGGACTAAATCAGATCCGAACCCCGGAACCGCAACATGGCGCACAGAAGGAAAACCAGCTCTTACCCCTCAGCAAGTATGTGGAGGAAGACCCGGTTGCGGCAAGGCCCGATTCTGTGTTTTGGGATTTAGGGTTTAGGGTTTAGGGTTTAGGGTTTAGGGTTTAGGGTTTAGGGTTTAGGGTTTAGGGTTTGGGGTTTAGGGTTTAGGGTTTAGGGGTTTAGGACTCAGGATTTCGGGATTTAGGGTTTAGGATTCTTCTTTCCTTGCTAGGTCTCCTTTAGAGATCAGAGTGGTTTAGGGTTTAGTGTTTAGGGTCCTAAACCCCAAAACCCAAGACCCTTAACACTAAACCCTAAACCCTAAACCCTAAACCCTTAACCCAAAACCCTTAATCCCTAAACCCTAAACCCTAAACCCTTTGAGATCCTAGCTCGCAGGCTCCTCCTGTCGCAGATGGCCATCGTCCTCGAGGCGTCTGCTGCTGAGGCCGTGGAGCGAGGGCATCTCGGCTGAAGGCAAAATCTCAAGAAGGTAATATAGGGGCCTTAATAATTAGATAGGGGTTTTGGGGGTTCCTTATTATACTTATAGTACAGAGTGTTGTTTTGTAAAACAGGGGCTTGAATCCGTACCTACATTATTTTGGGGTTCCTTACTATAGTTATACTATAAAGGGCCCCAAATGTTGATCATGTGCACATATAGTTGGTGATCCTTCATTATGTGTGTTTATCTTTATACAGTTGTATTTACTCATCTAGTACAGTTATGTATATAATGGCTGGATGCGTGTCTACCTCAGTCTCAATCTGATTGCATATATTGCAATTTTGTCAAGCGTGTCTGTATTTTCTGTGCTAACATATATCCTGATACAAAATGAATGCGTGTGCTCTCGCTCTCTCTCTCTACCTCTATACATACAATATATATATATATATATGTATGTATGTATGTATGTATGTATGTATGTATGTATGTATGTATGTATGTATGTGTGTGTGTGTGTAAAAGCTGTACTTTGCAACTGGATGTTCTGTGAAACCGTCGTAGACGGTGCAGTTGTTCAACTGGGGATTATCCTAAAACCTTGGTGTTTTCAAAACATTCTAGCGCTTGCGAAATGATATGGAGTTTGCCGGTTGCGGTTGCTGCACGCAAACACTGCGAAAGGTCGAACGGAACATACGTAGCCAACAGTGCAGCCTCTACCGACCGTTTACCATAGCTGTTTTCAAACTTTTGCCGTTGCTCTTAATGTTGCTGTATGACGACGTTACTGTGTGACGACGACCAGTATTCGTACTCGTACTAATGCGAACACTGGTAGTAGTACTACCTTTTGGTTCAAGTACTAGTAAATGGCTAGCATAAGTAGTAGTTATAAGTACTACTACCCGTGTCTGACGAGATTTTATCAAGCCCGCGGCTCGGAGGCGCCATATCCCAGAGGGTGTCGAGACGTGTACCTCCGAGGAGATGGAAGTCAAGGGATAATCAGCAAGAAGGGGCTGTGCATGACGACGGATCAGAGAGCGACAATGCCCCAACCCCATGTCCCTGGCTAGAGCCGCGCCCCAAGTCTAGACCCCGAAGCTCAACATCCGAAACCTCAATGCCCTGTTCCTGAAACCACTTTAGGGTTCCGTGTTTAGGGCAGAGGCTTAAGGATTCAGGGTAAAGGCCTCAGGGTTTGAGGTTTAGGGTTTAAGGTTTTGGGTTGGGTCGCAAGCCCTGAAGGAAAGTTATGCCTGCCTCTTATCTTCTTCGACGCAGGCCCGAGCTTTTGGGCTTGGCAGGGCTTCCGTTTTTGTGGGTACTTCTCTCAATTAGGGTCCCTTTCTAGGTTCCCAGAATCGCACGCCCCTACGAAAAGGACCCTCAAAGGGACGCTAATTTCGAGAACTACCCATCCGGTTGCAGGTTGCGGGCCCGAAGGAATTTAGGGGTTCCGGGTTTCGGCTGATTTAGTTAAGGCTTCTGGGGTTCAGGGCCTAACCCCAAGGGTCCATGTACCCACATAGTCATATACATACTTCGGCCTTCAAGTAGTCCCTATATAGGTACCCTAAACCCTAAACCCTATATAAGTACTTTTGGGGAAGCAATGTATCCACAAAGTAGGTACATGGACCCTTAGGGCAAGGCTGTAGGGTTGAGGGTCAGAAAGGAGCCTTGAGGAGGCCTTGGTTTTTACTGCAGGGTTTAGGGTTTAGGGGTTTAGGGGTTTAGGGGTGAGGGGTTTAGGGGTTCAGAGTTTAGGGTTTAGGGGCATTCTGTTTTTTCTGTGCTGATGACAAGGCAGGTCAGGCCTCTGCTTTGGGCCATGGCAGCTTTTGGTTATGTCACTTCGACCTTGGATCATGTTCTTGGAGGGTTTAGGGTTTAGGGTGTGCTTTCGCATGTTTGCATCTGTCATCCTTACCTCGTCTCCTGGTTCAGGGTTTAGGAATTACTTGTTGTCTGATCCAGCCATCCGCTTTTTTTCTGATGGTACCTATAGGCTCCATTACAGTTCCTTTTTGGGGTCCCCCGTTTAGGATCCTAAATCCAAAAATTGCTTAAACCAAAGAAAGGAACCACACCGAAGGCTATAGATATGGGCTATAGATATGTTGATGCCTCAAAAAAATCCCTCAAAGGATCCGTTATAGATCCCTTAAGGGAACCCGTATTGATCCCTGTAAAGGAACCTATAGGTCATGAATAAAACACTAAGCCAAGGCTCTTCACACCCTGCGCGGGTCCTCCTTGCATTGTGATGTCCCATATTGGGGAGGGGGGGAGCTGCAGGTCGGAGAAGCAAGCGTTTCAGACAAGAAAAGGCTAAAAGGCATCATGCAGCATCAGTTAACAAATCAATACAAAGTGAGCAGATAAACAAATATGTAAGTACGTATGTCTATATGTATATATATATATATGTATATATATATTTATCTATATGTCTTTCATTGCATAGAGAGGGAGAGAGAGTGTGAGAGAGTGTGAGAGAGTGTGTGAGAGAGAGAGAGAGAGAGAGCGAGAGAGCGAGACAGAGAGAGGGAGAGAGAGTGGACAGAAAAAACGAGCGAAAGAAACAAAGAGGAAAGACCCAACATGGAAGGGTCCCTGTTGTCAGGACACCCCCAGGACCTAAATAAGGTGCCTCAAGCCGTCAGTACCCCCATCGTATACCCGGGCTATACCACGCAGGTGCCATTGCACGTCGACGAGGTGCTGGCGGGAGCAGATTTCTTTGTAATGGCGAGTAGCAAAGCACAGAAAGGGTAAGTTCAGGGTTTCGGGTCTAGACTTCAGGGCCGTGCGCACCACAAGAACCGTTCAAACTTTGCTTCCTGCTGGAATTTCCGAGCAGAGATAGGGCTGTATGACGAACAGCAGGTCGTCTGGACCAGGTGTGCTGGGGGCTTATTGTGGGGTTCTAAGTGCACTAATAATTTGGTTGTAAGTTGTAACGAATCACCCAGAGCAAGTTGCACTTTCATAGAGCCAGCATGTTTGTGAGGTATGTTGGCATGGAAGGATTTGATGGAGTATGCTGGGATACGCCAGGATTTCGCATGGTCACTTCACTATCTGGCCACAGCGTGTAGCAATGCATGCTGCGTAGCTCGTATTAGGTAGATATGTTTCCAAGGTACACTGGCATCCTAGACAGGGCATTCGAAGCCGGTCTGTTTCAATCCACAAGTGGCACCACGCTTGTGCCATAGAGTGTGTCAACCATCATCGTGCAGTCTGAACTTTATCATGTGGGGTGCTCCATCCACAAGGTTTTGACATCTGCTTATTTCTCACCTTACAAGTCCTAAGCAGCTATGCTGTCTCCTCTGGGGCTTGCACGGAGATTATGGCTGCCTACTTGCTACGACCATACCGAGGCAAACTGAGGGTTTAAGGTTTAGGCCTTCAGATTTCTGATACCGTGAGCATGAAAAGAACTCCCGGGAATGATTGTGGCCGATGCTCCCTTCGGCAAAGACATCGATGGTTGCTATGTCGTGCAACGCCGTGCGCACCCCCGGTATTGTCTGGACTGCTTTAGTCGTCACTTGTTAGTTGATATGGAATTTTTGCCTTAACCCAAGATGAGATTTGATGCTGCTGCTACAGTCTTAACACTCTAGCTTCATGATTTGACACAGTTTATCCCTATGCAATACATTACTACCATCATATTTACCATATTTACCATTGTTATTCCTTATTCTTATACTATATTCTTCTGATTATTAGCATTATCATTCTTGCTTAGTTGCAATGCCAAGCCGAAACCCGAGCCCCTGAGACCGCTCAAGCCTGAATGGGCGTCTCAGAATTTGAGGCACCGCGGTGTAGTGTAGACCCTGAACAGCAGCATCCTTATGATACTCACCACCCCCTTCCCCAAAAAAGACAAGGGAACACGTTAATTTAAGAAATCCCTAAATCAGAGTTTGCAAACGCAGCGGGCCCGATTCGAGAAGAGGGGTCCCATGATGTTCGGGCACCTGCAAATGGTCCCTAAAAACCTAAGCGCTGGGAAGGAAGGCAGCCTGTCTATGGCCCAACTTCTGCTCGAGAATGCGCGAGTTGAGAAGAAACTCGGCACATAAATGTGGGGCTTAGGGTTTAGGATGGGATTTCCCCTAAACCCTGAACCCTAAATCCTAACCTTTCGTTCGGTACCCCCGGGTTGAATTCACACAAGTTGGGCTCTGCTCATGCAAAACCTGAGTCCTGCATATCCCTCATTAGAATGCGCTGTTGGCGTGGCTTAGGATTTAAGGTTGCTGCATTTCAAGACCCCCGCATGCGTCTCAGTCTCTCTGCTTCAAGATGGAGTGCCTCAAAATTCGGGGCTGCAGGATGTGGGGTTCAAGACTAGCACTTGAAGGTGTGACCTCTCATACCTGAAGCGTTTGGGTTTAAGGTATTTAGGGTTTAGGGCCTGAGCTCTAAACCCTAAACCCCTAAAACCCTAAATCACTAAAACCCTGAAACCCAAAGGCCCTAAAACCCTAAAGCCCTAAACCCTAAAACCCTAATACCCTAAAACCCTAAACCCTAAACCCTAAAGCCCTAAAGCCCTAAAGCCCTACAACCCTTAAACCCTAAAACCCTCAAACCCTAAACCCTAAGCCCTAAAAACCCTAAAGCCCTAAAGCCCTAAAGCCCCTAACGCCCTAAAACCCTCAAACCCTAAGCCCTAAGCCCTAAAAGCCTAAAGCCCTAAAGCCCTGAAGCCCTAAAGCCTTGAATTGTGGGTCCAGGATGGAAGGGCCAAAGGCTTTAGGCTTCGGGGTTGGGTTTAGGGTTTAGGGTTTAGGGTTTAGGGTTGGATGTTTCAGGCTGCAGTGTTGAAGGTAGCAGGGTTCGGGGCGGGCGGTGTGGGATCTGAGGCCAAGTAAGGTAGGGTTTTAAGGTTCAGGGTTTTAGGGTTTAGGGCTTTAGGGTTTAGGTGCTTTGGGTTTTAGGGTTAAGGGTTTTAGAGTTTAGGGTTGAGGGTTTTAGGGTTTAGGGTTTAGTAGTGTTGTGGTTCGGGCTCGTTACTACCACAAGCTCTATTCTAACGACACTGGCCCCTCTATTGCTCTCGGGACTTCGGATGACGCGTCCTTGACTGCAGGTAGAATGCCGAATCTAATAGCTTTTTGGGGATCCGCCTCGCTCGGCACCCGGTACGAAATCATAGCGGCCTCTCATCCCCCCTGCGATCCGAAGTTGCCTGCGGTGACAGTGAGTTTAATGAAATAGCGTCCTGAAAAATTACGAAGCCTATCGTTGGGGTTCCGTATTTTGAGTATAGTAATATACCCCCAAGCCCTATTCTAGTTATTCAGGCCCCTCCATTAATTCATGAAGCTTGCGCCACCTCACAGAGCCTCATCGTCCTACAGTGAACCCCGGAAGCTTGGAACATGGATTTAATCCGATTCATGCTGGGATTCCCTATACTTTACCTTGGAAATACCATAGTTCCTTAAAGCCTTAGAGGCCGCAACCCAGGTATGCCAAATTCGTCGCGGAGATGTGGCCAGCACGGGCGCTGCTGGACCCCCGGATCAAGGATGAGAACAGCCTCAGGAGCGGTGAGTTGATACACAGTAGAACAGGTCGGACTTGAGCCATGTATCTTCTGCAGTGAGACTCCTAAGATTCCGTCAACGAGCGATAGCCTCATGGAATAATTGCTTGCGTCTTGGAAAGGGGACCTTTGCTTGCCAGGGATCCGGGTGTTTGGGGCATGTCGGTGTTAAGCTTGCGATGCCCGAAGCCCAAAATGACACGCTTTGTAGACATATAGTGGCAACCCGCAAAAAATCGGGCCCCTGGCAGGTTCAAGCGGGTCTGGTATGCCGTGAATGGCTGTGCAATCCCGCTCACCTTCCTCGTGCTTCTGTTCTTCCTGCGCCAGAGCCTGGACTGAACATGCGTACGCAGGAGCCACTTGTTGACATGCCTATTTCCGGGCCTCTTCCTGTATAGGTGTAGATGCACATATGTTGCTGTTGATTGTGCTTATATTCGCTTGTTCAAGCATGCATAAATGCAGACCTGTCAACGTGTATTAGCATAGTCGCCTGTTCGGCTTGAAGTACTGATCGCCGGGCCTGACAAACTGGAAATAATGAACAGGCAAACGTGGTTTAGCTGTTTCAGGCATTCCATAAGGCTTTAAGGTTTACGGTCAAGCTCGTACTGTTTCGAGACAGAAACCGGAAGCCCACCTTTGTTGGTACGACAACTAGATCCAGCCTTTGCACCAGAAGGCCTTGTAGGCCGCAGGAGCTTGAAATCGATGACAGCTTGTTTACGGCTCATTCATGCAGGAAAGGCTTCAATTCCTGGGTCTTCTGAATCCGAGTGCATGAGGGGTGTCATTTGGTTCTGCAGATTCCGTCAAAACTGCGCACGTGTCCCAGATCGGGGTTCAGGCTTCAGGTTGTAGAGTTCAAGCCCCCGAACCTAAACCCTAAACCGCCGTAAGCCGTAAACCCTAAACCGCCCTAAGCCGAAACCCTAAGAACCGGCCTAAACCCTAAAGAGACTCTCGATCATCCCACGAGCTCAGGGTGCGCAATGATTTGGAAGATGTCCGGAAAGGTCAGACGGAAGACGTGGGAGGTCGGCTTTTGGGCATCTGGGGTGCAGGGAGGTTTAGGGTTTAGGGTTTAGGGTAATATAGGGGCCTTAATAGTTACCTATACTATTATGGGGGTTCCTTATTATAACTATAGTATAAGGGGCCCCAAAAACCCTATTCGAGTTAGTAAGGCCCTTATATTGGGCTTTAGGGTTGAATGCTTCAAGGCTTTATCAGCGACAGTCTGCACGGCCGAGGTGGACATGTATGCTTTGTACAGGTGCAGTTCTAGTTTCGTTTCACACATACATACATGCATGCATACATAATTATATTTATGCAGACACACAGACAGACAGGCAGGCAGGCAGGCAGGCACCCAGACTGACATGCTGTTTGCATGGGCTACATATTGTCGATGCATGAACTTGTTTGTATTGCGCGCCATGTATGTATGACTGCTCTCTCTCTCTCTTGCAGCACACTTCAGTTTGCATGATTTCGTCCAACATCGCACCACCCTGGAAAAATCTGAGCAGATGCAATTTGTGCGGCCTGGCATCTTTCTGCCTGGACATCCAACCGCTCTCAAGATTCTGCGTTCTTCTTCAGCACACTCCGCATGGGAGCGCATCGTAGTTCTCGCGATCCCAGACGGTACATAGTCCAAGCTCTGCACTGTCGGCATCCCGAAATCCAGTCTGTGCCAGCTGCGCCTGTGATCCTAAAGTTCAATCCCGTGTCCTCAACACATCCGCAGAGCCGTACAGAAACACCAGAAGCTCACTGGCTCGCGGCACACTACAAGATTCCGAAACAGAGCCCATGCCCTCTGTTGCCCATATACCCTGCGGTTGCCAAGCCGGGATGCTATATCCTCGCTCTTCCGGCCCAAAAATGACCCGCCTGGCAACTGTGACGTCTAGCGGCTTCGGCTTGCGATGGTTTGGCTCGGTTCGGTTTCGGGTTTAGTTTAGGGCTCTTCGCATCGCAGCACGCTTACCAGAACACCCGGACACGCCTCAACCAGCGAGCCTGAGATTCCCCTGGCCCGTCTGCGAGGCCTTGCTGTGGCGTTCTTGTACGCCCTGGCCACGCTGCAGTTTCTCGCTCAGTGGGTTTCGGCCGGCTTTGGGAATTGAATCATAATTGGTACTAGTATCCCTCGCATCGTCGGTATATCTTCATGTTACGGGTAGAACATACCCCAAGCCCTAGTCTATTCATTAAGGCACGTATATTACGGGGCTTGTAAAGCTTGCGGAGCTTGGTAATGATTCGGGGGTTCGGGGCTCAAAGGGCTCATAGGTCGTGTGTGTGCGTATGTTAATTCCGGATGCTTAGGGCTTGCGACATATGTTGCTTCATGGGAGGGTCGCCGTACCGGATGATCCTTTCTTCGGCTATGAATATGTCGGCTAGCAGCTCAGAGTGTAAGGGCTGGTAGGTCGGACTAAACTCAGACTGCCTCTTTGTACCCTAAACCCTAAACCCTAAACCCTAAACCCTACACTCTTGCTGCCCGAAGTACCGTCAACATGAGATGTCAGCTCATCGCAGGCTGCTCACCTACATTTGGGACCTCCTCTTCATCCCGGTGAAGGGCCTGCACAGTGCAGCCTCGGCTTAGGGTACTAAGACCAGCTCGGACGGTAAGAAAGCTTGAAACCCTAAACCCTAAACCCTAAACCCTAATGATGAACATAATGTAGGTGCCTTAAGAATTAGAATCGGGTTTTGGTCTCCTTCATGGTATAGGTATAACACGGAACCCTAAGGAATAATTAGTATAGGTAATTACTTAGGCCCTATAGTTTGCCTTAACAGTCAGGTTCAGGGTTTTAAAGTCTAGGGCTCAGCGGGAATCCTCATAGAACCCCAAGCCTCGCCAGCCGAAGCCTCGAGATCCCCAAAGCTCCCTGAAAAAACAGAGCTTCAGGGTCATAAACCCTAAACCACCCTAAACCCTAAACCCTAAACCCCCAACCCCTAACCCCTAAACCCTAAACCCTAAACCCTAAACCCTAAACCCTAAACCCTAAACCCTAAACCCTAAACCCTAAACCCTAAACTAAACCCATGTCTAACTAAAGCTCCGAACCTCCCAGCGTCCTATGCTTGATACGCCGGTCTGGAGATTTCTCAAGGGAAGCATATGTGAGATATGGGCAACCTCGTGAGGGAAAACGTATGGGAAGCAATAAGAAGTACTTGTGCTTATCCCCAGCATAGCACCACATAAAGTAAAGCTACTGCACTATCCGCAATATCTGAGGGCGTTGCCAAACACAGAGCATGGATGCATCCCTGAACCCTGAAACCCTAAACCTTAAAACCCGAAACCTCCGAAAGTCTTCAAACGGCATGCTACAAGTATAAAGCAACAGCCAGACTAACAATAGTTTCAACATCAACAGTATTCATAATAATAACAATGAATAGAAACTCAGAAACATATAATGACAATATCAGCAATGTAGTGCTACCCAGAATATAACAGTAAAACAAGTATGCCAAATGTCTACCTATACATATACATATACGTGTATATATATATATATGTATATATATATATATAGGTAAAGAGGACAGGGTGTCGGGTGCCGGCAGGGCACCTGGCGAATGCTGTGCTTGAAGCGACGATTCTGAGTCGCCGCTCCGAAGCTTCAGTTCCCGAGCCGGCTCCGTGAGAGATTTTCAGGGTTTGGGGTGTAATAGGGGCCTTAATAGTTAGAATGGG